ACAACTTTTCTTTTCCCTGTAATAAATGGTGTTAACAGTAATATATATTTTTTATTAATTACCTAAATAACTCAATAGTTATTTTATTTCGTTGAAAATAAAAAATTTTAAATTCGAATTACAAAATATACGAATATGATGAGATAAAAAATGAGAGATGGTTTATTTCTATTGTACAACCAAGATTAGAAAAAAAAAAAAACAGTAATGTTTTTTTGTATAAGCGTTTTTCTCTTTGGATAGTGATTAGTGAGTCCTTACGTTTGGGTTGGGACTTTCAGTGGGGCTTATTGGGTTCAGTGGGCTAAGGCTTTGTCCATATGACAAAGCCCCATTGTAAGTCCAAAATAAACTGAAAACAACAAAAATTGGTCCCGGCGGGGCTCGAACCCGCGACCTTCGGCTCATAAGACCAACGCTCTAACCAACTGAGCTACGGGACCTTTTGTTAGATGATTTGATTCCGGAAAATTTAAAGTAAAACAAGCAGAAAACGCACATCTTGCTCACCATAACACTAAAGAAGTGGTTTTTTATTTCCTATAAAAACCATAAAAATAGTAAGAAAAGAAAAAAAGTACGAAGATAACCACAGAAGAAACAGAAGTTATTCATACATTATGTATCATCCAATCTTCTAAAGGAAATTTTCGTTTTTGTTCTTTTAATAAGGATAAAAAAATTCAAGCCCAAAGGGCAAGGATAGACATTGAGGTAGAACCAAGTGCAAGGGCAATAAATGATGCCTTCTTCAACCATTTCTGTGAACTCATCAGTTTGTTGTGAAAAAAGTCCGCAGCAATAAGATCAACAAGAGCCATGTATATGAGTATCCCAGAAGATAGAGAACCCAACAGCCCTTCCATGATCAAGGCATTGGGGTTACTATCATCATAACCCGTCACTGAAAACACTATCATCCCCAGCAGTATCCCTACTGGAGTCGTCACTGAAAACATAAAGCACATGTATGCTACAGTTCCCACACTAAATCCTGCCTGCAAATCACCCCAAATGAATTGTCAATCTACAAGTTTGGTTTAGCCGTTGTTATGCATTCTTTAGAGAAGAATGATACCCCTAATTTGGAAATCTTAATTTTAAACCATTAATTAAACAAGCATCTTCGGACAACCTCTAGATGGAATGTAAATTTATACATAAATACTTTTCCTATGTAAATCTTTTTAAGCATTTAATAATATAATCAATTGATCTACATCATAGTATATATAAATATATATATGAAATTCATGTTTTACAATCTGGATTGCAGATTAAAAGTAGAGTTTATCTTATCAATTTACTAAAATACTCTCAATGAAATTATTTCATTAAGGATCCTTTAGTAAATTCATATGGTAGACTATACTTTAAAACACTTTTTCCTACATATATAGAAAAATATATATTAATCCTAATTCTTATAAAAAAAAATAAATTAAATTAAAATTTTAAATTAAAAACACCAACCTCTAATAAATAAATAAATAATTTTTTTGTTATATTAATAAGAAAAAAGATTCACAAAGAACACGCATCGTAAGTCCATGCCAAATTGCCTATGGCGTTTTGTCTAAACCCTTAAGATAGCATAACAAATTCTCAACCTTTGGATCTACAATTCAGGATCATTAAAAGATTTTAATTACGTGTAGGCATAATCAACAGGTCAGAAATCATTTTTTCCAATAATTCAAGGCCCAAGAATCTAGTACAAATAATCAAGCTTCACACTATTATTAGATATGTGTAAAAAAGACTATCCGATTCCTATGACCCAAAAAAAATAAATCATCACTACCGTTGGGTCCAAACATGATGCTGACTAATACTTAGATAACAGGGACATTTATAGAAATTCAATCTTCGAGGCACCGAATCAAATCTTGTAGAAAAGTCAAAAATTGGACAAGGAGTAAGAAACTGTAACAGAAAAAGGAAATTGCGGTGGAAATTGAATGAAGCGATTGATCTTTCGTCATACCTGAGCAATGCATCCACCTAGACCCATCCCCTCGAAGATCTGGTGAAACGCGAGGGCGGCGACCAGCGGCCGGATCGTGCACTGGTTCTGTGACATCCCCATCGTCACTCCGATGATCACTGAGTGGAAAATTATCCCAATTTCCAGTACCTGTGACACCAACCTCTGCTTCACCTTCGCCAATTCCTCATTCGACAAACCAGCTGTAGGTTTTTTCCCACTATTCACATCTTGTGTTCCCACGGGAAGGTAATCGTTGCCGCCGCTCGGTTTATGCCCGTGGCCGTGGTCCACGTGGGCAGTTGCGGTTATATCCACCAGGAGGGCCAAAAGGGCTCCAATCAGAGTGACTAATCCGGCAAAAGGGAAATCTCTCCAGGGGTGTCTTGACGCGATGGAGCAGTCGGAAAGGGCGTCGTAGGCGTCTGGAAGCACATGGACGAGGGAAGTAGAGAGGATAACCCCGGCGGCGAAGCACTTGATGACCAGAATTGCTTTGTCATAGACGGGTTTGCCTTGGAAGTATCGGGCGAGAAGCACGGGAGAGGAGATGCCCAAGACGCTGGTGAAGAAGATTACCAAGATTGAGATGAGCTTGAGATGGGTAGCAGCGACGGTGTTTCTGCAAGCCAAGGCTCGAGCCGTGTCGTTCACGCACCCAGTCATCGTGAACTAGAAAGTCAAGCGACGGAGTTTGTGTTCTTTGTCGACGCAGTCGCCGCTACAAAATTCACAGAATCATAGAGATGATGTATGGTCTGGAGCAGGCCACAGCTTAGTGCGTTTAATATAAATGGGCCCAAAGTGTGAGTTGATTTGGACTGTCGAGAAAATAATAATAATAATAATAATAAAGGAGGACAATTTAGTACGAGAAAAGTAAAAGTTAAGAGGTTCAATCTCAATTATGATTTAAATAAAGATTATATTATATTTTATTTATTACTTGATTTTGATTAAATATAATAATATTTTTAATATTAAAACATATAATGTCTTACATCTTCATTCATTATAAAGTTTTTATTTTAGACAATAATTTAGAAATACATTTTTATTTTTTTTTAGTACAATCTTATTGATCAATTAAATGATTAATTTTTTTATTTATTTAAAATATATAATATTATATACATATACTTATTAAAAAAACATGTAAAAACTATATAAAAATTTTATTTTTATATCGTTTTTCTTTATTTTATAATTAAGACAATTCATTCTTAAAACTTGAACGGAGTGGTCTTTTATGTCAAAAAACTATCCCCTTACTCTTAAGATTTGCAAAAACAGTTTTTCGTTATTGTTTCTTTATTCTTCTCTTTCCTCCTCTTTTTTATCTTTGGTGTGGGATGAGTATGATTTCCATATGTGATTTTAATGGTGTATGAAAGAAGAAAATTAGGTGGGAAACGCAAAATGGGTTTGCTTTTGGGCTGCTTTATATATTTTTTGATTGAGATGAAAAATCAAATTTGATTGGTTGCCTTTGGCAATTGCTTGTATGAACTGTCACCACAATCAGTGGCGTGGTCAAAAATTCATATGAGGGGACAAAATTTAAAAGTCATTAAGCACTATGTAAAATTGTAGAGTTTTAATTTAAATTAGTAATATTTTTCCAATTAAGTTAAAATTATTATTATACTCTCTTAATTATAAGTATATTTTTAATGATATTTTTATATTTCTAATTATCATCTAGAACTAATTAAAAGCATACGTAAAAATAGTAATTCAAAATACAATTCAAATAAATAATTGTTGAAACAAAAACTAATTAAAGTAACAATTTATAGATTATCATTCAATTAAGCTTTTTTTTTTCTAATTTTTCATATTTCTCACCTTTTTTAACATCATGAAAGCAGTATACGATGAATAAAGAGATAAGGAAATTAATAATGTAAATTAAAATATTTAAGAAAAAATTATATAAAATAGAAGTTAAATATTGAAAATAAAAAAATGTTAAGGATCAAAATAAGTTGAACCAAAAAATAAAGTATCAATATGTTAACTTTTCAAAAGTTTGGGGGGGCTTGTACCCCTCTAGAACCCCCTAGCT